ATTCTCTCAAATCTTTTTAGTTTTCAAAAAATTAGTTTTGATTTTCATTCAATTCGCCTAAAGTTAGCACTTTTAGGGCGCAGTCGTATGCCATCGGATGCCAGTCCTTAATGTTTAGCCCCGAAAAGCACTCACTTCTCTCTTCAACTTCACTCTCTCGTCAAATATTTTAAATTATTTCTCATTTCATATCTAAAATAAATACTTTTTATTGATTTTTTAAAGTTAAATATCAAACACACCAAATGAGTTGTGGCTCACATTATTGTCTCATTTCATGCCCTCATATCTTATGCTTTCTAATTAATGAATGCCTTAAATATTTATTAAACCAAATAAATATTTATTACAAACTTAGAATTTCTTATAAAATAGTTATTAGTATTTTTATTTCAAGCTATAAAAGCGGTGAATAAAAAATGAAATGAAATTTTTAATATTTAATATCGTTTTCTGGTGAGCAGAGCAGCAATTTTATATGAAATACAGCTCTGGCTGTCATTAATGAGTTTGTAATTACTATAATATTCTTAACATAATATTACTTTAGAGATCAGATAAATAGTATATTTATAGTGAAGCGGACGTCCGGCTCATATGGACAGACACTCAGACACTGACTGCCTTTAATAGGGAGTCCGTACGAGAAACTGAAAACAGGTGTAAGGTTTTCGCGTCCTATGCGATGCTATGCTATTATAAGACACTCTATTTCGAGTGATATTAAGCCAAGAGTTCAGTGATCACTGATGAGCGGATTCTTTGTTTTAATCCACTTTTAATCCACTTTTAATCCACTCCTAATCCCATGTGAACTAAAGCCGAGCCCTAAGTTAATGGCAATCACTATATTTGGCAAATATATAAATATTCGCATTAATGGCGTTCAGTTAATGCGGGTTCAACTCAATGCCTGGTATTTTTCATTTGAGATTTCAAATTAGTTTTGTTGTACTCTATTGTTATCTACACTATAAGCCTGAGGCAGATGGAGAGGTAGAGTCCGTCACCGTCACGCTTACAATCATTGAATAAATGGCAAAAAAGGGGACATTCATTGGTCCACACCTTCCGTTTCCTTTTCATAAATATATTTATTATAAAGATTATTATTATTATTATTTTAGGCTTTCATTTGAGTGGAATAATCACAACAAAGTCTACTTCACAACAGTCTGGTTATACGGACGCAGAGAAGCGCTACAATGTCTCCATCACTTTCGACAGGTATTACACCGAACCATACAATATCACTATACCATAGCTATGTAAGCACTGTAAGGCACATCACATATACATCATTATATCATTGAAAACACTATCACTTGTCAATCATCTCTTCACAAATATACTTAGATTTAGGCGCTAGTCTTACATTACATCTAAACCTTTCTCATTACATACATTTATCTATCTATTGTCAACATGTCAAATAATATATAGTCGATATTATACTTGTATTTGTTTATTAATTTTACATTAGTTTTGATATTATAAACTGCCGTATAAAGTAGACAATTGAAATATTTTACTTTAATTATATTCTACATTTTGAATTCATAAATATATTGAGTTACTGTAGGACATTATTGCTCATTGTGGGTAAATGTTAGTGTCCCATAGTATGGGAATAGACTTTACATTTCTGATTATAAATGACTTATAAGTTGCAAAATCTTCTTTCAAAATCGCATACAGTATTCAATATGTATTGAATACTAGCTATTCTTAACAGAAAGTGAAAATCTTAACATGGGAATAGACTTTACATTTCTGATTATAAATGACTTATAAGTTGCAAAATCTTCTTTCAAAATCGCATACAGTATTGAATATGTATTGAATACTAGCTATTCTTAACAGAAAGTGAAAATCTTAACAAAGAATATAAAATGAAAGGACTTTTAAAATACGGGAATAAATACAAAATCCTAACAATTAATGTATTGATTTGGGTTTGCCTTCAGATGCAAAATAACTTCAGTTACGTGTAGTTGCGATACAAAAGATATATTTTGGTGCCAACATGTGGTCGCACTTGCATTATATCGTATCAGGAACGCGAGTTCAGTGCTACTTCGGGTGCCAATATCTGGTGAGATCTATACATTGGAGTGAATTGAGTGAATGGGTGTCTAAAAGGTTTATTGAAATATTGTGTAATACAGAGACATTACTCCAATTGGATAGACAACAGTTGCAGAAATTACTCCAATATCTCATAGCAGAACATCACACGGAAGTGTTGCCAACCGCCCAGAAGTTAGCCGATGAGATACTCCAGACCCGATCCATCATCAACAAGATTGCCGGCGCACCGGACCCTACAGCCGGTGCCTGCGCTGAGGACGAGCACAGCTGGCACTTGGATGAGGAGCAAGTGAGCGAACAGGTCCGCTCCTACCTGTCTCAGGGGGGCTATTATAACGCCAACAAACAGCTCAACGCACTCTTTGCCAAAGTATTTACCAATTATTATGAGTTTTATTATGAAAATTATATGAATTTTATTAAATTATAAATTGTTTTCCTATTATTAGGTAAAAGAAATGCTTCGCGCGAAGGACTCGAACGGCGCCCGAATGCTCAGACTTATCACCGAACAGTTCCTCGCAGACCCCCGACTTCCCATTTGGCGCTCTCAGGTCTGTTGTGCCACTCATTACTCATTAAACTCTTTGTACGCAAAACTCATGAGTATATCATTTTCGACGTCTATAGGGAACACCTATGACCGACAAATGTAGACAATTATGGGACCAATTGGGAGCTCTTTGGGTTTGTGTTGTTCTCAACCCTCATAGCACTCACTCTGAGAAACACCACTGGAGAGCCCTATTGGAGCGCTGGTCGCGACTTCACGTCTGTCCCCTCGAAGACGCAGACTTTAGGCCTCTAAGTGTCAACAGTCGGCGAAGGATTCAAATTTTCGACTCATCTGACGAGGAGGAAGAGGAGGCAGATAGGAGTCGCTCCAACTCGTCATCGCGACTGCATTTGGGCACCAGGAGGTCGTCCAACACTACCAATTCATCACTACCTCGAACTATATTCCATCGGGCGCTCGAAGCCAGTCATCTGGAGTGGGATGACTCACACCTCAGGTTCATTCTGGAACACGACGGCCCTGTCGTCATCTACGAGCCCCACTCGTCCGACACTTTCAACTACCAGGGATACCCACTTTGGAACGGTATGTCACTCTTGCTTTTGTATGCATTGCACACCATATTTCACAATTGAGTAATTTATTTAAAATTCGGTCCAAATGTACCAAAAATGGATTGATTATAATCTGAGGATTAATTATTTACTGTATAAATGATTTGATTTTATAATTTTAATAACGCCTTCGTTGCAAATCTTTTAAATAATTTTCATTTTGTTTGAGAGTAAATAGTTGATTATAAACTCATTATTATTTATTCAATGATTCACTGGAAAAATAATTTTTTTTTATTAGTAATTGATTCTTATTTTGATTTACATTTTATGCCATACAATTACAAAACACCTACAAAAATTGAATTTAAAAAATAGTGCTAATTATTTGCAAAATTTATTTTTATGATAATTATGCTTTTGAATTGTTATGACATGTATTGAGAAGTATTGAATAATATTACGGA